AAGAGCCGCAGCCTTCGGCTCACTCGGTCGCCCCAGAACTCACCGCCCGGGCGCCTGCCTAGCCGCGTTTAACCGCCGCGGACTCTGCTCTTGCGATCGATTGGCCGAAGGCGAGGCCGCTTTGCTTCTCTAATTGGCTAAGAAAAACACAACACCCTAGGCATCCTGGGAAAAGCGTGTCGCTAGGCAACGTCGTCCGCGTCGGAGTCTGCGGCTCAGCTCAACTTCTAGCGAGAAGAGGGCGGGGCTAAATCAAACATTGAACGGGGGTGGGGGCGTCTTAGCAATTATATCCTTAAATTGAGGTCGCCAAGGTAGCTGAGGTCAGAGGATGTGTCTTAAAACTCCTTGGTAACCGGAACCTGTGTGGGCCTCGTGGAAGACTTGGTGAGAGCTAAGAAAGAAAATTACAGGGCTTCTCGAGGAAGCGCGCATGCGTGCTTAAGGACTTTGCGTTCACCCCAACACGAACCTACACAGCAGGAACTAATGTTACCGTTATTTCTCAGGAAGGAACGGAAGCGCAGAAAGGTTAAGTCATTTATTTAGGTCCAACAGCCAGGAAGAGCAGACTTGATGCAAAAGTAGTGGATACTCATAGTAATGATTTTTCCCCCCCTTTGGTCCTGGGGATGAAACTCAGGACCTTGGGCTTACAAGGCAGGCAGCGGAACCACTGAGCCCTCACAGTAGTGATTTAAGTTTAGACTTGACTTCAGAGCGCAGCCTTCGGAGACTGTTTCTGAACACCAAATTTAGAGGCCTGTTCAGAATACAAAGGCATTGTGCCACAACCCGGGAGAGAATGTGGAAGCCCCTGATGCTCGAGAACACTCAGGAGAAACAGTGGCCCAGATAGGCACAGACGTTTTCCCCTTAGGACCTCTACCAAATACAGACGAACTACCAAATAAGCTATCTGGAGTGCTGAGCGTATCTTTCATTGACAGTACTTTATTGAAGTGGTCTCAAAGCCAGACACAGGACGGATGCTGTCAGTCCAAAGGCAGGAGGAGGACGAGGGGGAAGGGGAGAAGGAGGAAGTAGCTTCTTTGGGGTACTCAGCTCACCTAGAATAGAACAGCCTCATTTTACCTGGGGGAGGGGACCTGGAGCCCTCCCTCTGGGGCTCCTTGAAAGAATATGTGCGTTACCGAAAAGCTAATAATTTGACAGTGCATAAATAGGTCCATTTTCTTTAAATACCTGTTCAAGTCAGCTGTGGCACACACCTATAATCACAGCACTCAGGAGGCTGAAGCAGGAGGGTCATTGCCAGGTTGAGGCCAGCCTGGGCTATGTAGTGGGTTCAAGGCCAGCCTGGACTACACAACCAGTGAGACCCTATATTAACCAAAATGATGATAGTAATAATAAATTAATAATAATATAAATAAAATCTGTTCAGCAAGGGATTGAAAAGAACCTGGTTTTCTGTTCATAAGAATTACAGCCGGGTGTGGTGGTACATACCTATAATCCCAGCACTTGGAAGGCTGAGGGAGGAGGATCATTTTGAGTTTGAGGCCAGCCTGAGCTACACAGTGAGTTCAGGGCCAGCCTGAATTACAAAGGGAGACCTTGTCTTAAAAAAAAAATCACAAACCTCTCTACATTAAAATTAATTTATGTGCACTAAATATCACATGAAACAATTGGAACTGCCAGCCAGGAGGATTTTTAAATTAACATTCAAGGGCACTGTTTTATTTTAAAGGAATAGAACCAACTCAGGTTTCAGAAGTTAATGGAGGCTGGGCGTGGTGGTGCACACCTGTAATCCCAGCACTCGGGAGGCTCAGGCAGGAGGATCCCTGTGAGTTCAAGACCAGGTCTCAACTACATAGTGAGACCTTGCCTCAAAAAACCAAAAAAAAAGAAGAGAGAGAGAGAGAAGTTAATGGAAGGAGCTATAAAAGACTGTGTGTGCCTCTTGCAAATTGCTACTGTGGACCCTTGAGTCTTCACTCGCCTGACATACAAACAACTTGGGTTATGACTGGACTTTTTAGTTCTAACTTACGAACAAAGTGCTGAGTTATGATCAGAATGTTGTCTGCCTGTGCTTCCAGATGATCTCAGGTACAAATCGAACCCTTAAGGAGTTCAGGAAGGAACATGACAGCATCCTTTTCTGTGTGGGGTTGAGAAATCCTGGGCCAGCGTCTCTCTAAGGACACTGAGATCTGCCTGTGTACGGGAGAGAGACTCTGAAGGCTGTGGAGAGGAGCCAGAGCCTTCCCATGACAGCTTGAGTTACAACCAGCCCTCGTGAATGAATTGAGATCGTAAGCCAAGGGTCCACTGTAATTGTGGAGCTCTCTGCATGGCCTGTCCCAAATCCAGCTCTACACCTTCTCTCTGGCCAGTCTTCTGCTCTCCTCTTTGCCCCAAACCCAGCACACGTTCTCAGACCCTCCCCCCACCACCACTTTTGCATCTGATATTCTGCTGTGGGCTTTAAGCGACAGGAGAGGTCACTGGGACATAGGCGGATTTTATCCCAGGTTTTAGGTGAACACCGGCTCAACGGACTAATGTCCAAAGGTTGAGCCCAGAACAAAGGAAAGGTTCTAGTTTTATACTGTGTCTGAGGGCGTGGTCTTCCTAGTGATGGAGGAAGAGAGTTTACAGAAGCAGGACAAGGGCAGACAGTTTTGTACCTTGGCCTTGAAAGAAGACAGAGCCTTGTGAATGTTCTGAGAACAAGAGAACGTGAACTTTGTTTGCAGGATGTGTTATCAATTTATCTGTATCAAACAAGGAATTACAGATACCGGAGGGGACTGAGGTGAGCAGAGGACCGTCAAAGGCTGAGAAAAAAACTTGTTTCTCTTTAAATCCTGCTTCAGTTCCATTTGTCTGGAACTTCACTTGTCCCCACTCCCTTATCCAGGTCCCGACCTCAGTCACATCTGTCCGGAGGAGGCGTTTTCAGCACCCAACTCAGATGTGCTGCCTCTACCCTGAGGAACACTTCCAGCCCTTTGGACGGTCAGTTCCGCATCCACACGTGCTCTCAGGCCGCTCGGTACCTGAGTCGACACTTTAACTTGTTTTTTATCATTAATTTGTTTCACAGTAGCTGAACCTCAAACTCCTTGTAGCCGGCATACATCCTGCAGTAGAGGGAGCATGGAATAGAGAATCACTACATGAGAATCTGACAAAGCCACTTAATAATTTCCAAGGATTTGAAGTGAGTCCTTGTGACAGTTAAGCCACAGTCAACTTGATTGGCTTGGCGCCCCCTAGGGGATTGGTAAGGCACAGTTCCCGGTGTGTCCGGTGGGCTAAGAAAGCTTGACTTTGGGGTCCTCTGGTCCCCAGCTCCTTCCTCTGGGGCTCTGTCCCCCTGCTCTGCTTCCCAGACACCTTGAACCGATCAGCTTTGCTCTACCACTGCCCTCCGCCATGTTTCTGCTTGGAGCCAGCTGACCACGGATTGAAACCTCAGAAACTGAGCCCAATTACACATCTCCTCCCTTCATCTTTCAGGTATTTGGTGTCAGGGACCAGAACGCTGACCAGCAGAGCTTTCAAGCACTCCGTTTGCAAGTGCGTCCAGCTCTGGAGTGGAGACTAAACATCTGAGCGGGCGCCATCCCAGGAATGTGACAAGCAGCTCGTGGGCTATGTATTTATCCAGCAAATATTTACTGAGCACTTACTGGAGCCAGGTAGAAGGACAGGCATTGATGTGCTGGGTGTTCATTAAGAGAGAGAGACAAGGGAGCTTCGTTGGCCTTGATAACGAACAGTGACAAAGGATATCATGACAAACCCTAATTACTGGCCAGATGAGCCCGCATCACTGGGGAGGGTTGAGGACGGCAGCCTGCTGAGAGCACCAGACAAGGGCAGACAGTGGTGGCTAAAGAGCATGCACAGTAGATCGGGATGGGTTTGTGGAAACTCCCCTCCTGACCCTTCCTCCCCACTTCCTGCAGAGCTCGTTCATTGTTTCGGGCTCAGCTCGGGCCCAGTCCCTTCTCCAAAAATGTCCCCGAGTAAGCCAGGTACAGTGGCACAAACCTGTATCCCCAGCACTCTGGGAGGCTGAGACAGGAGGATCACAAATTTGAACCCAGCATGGGCAACTTAGTGATTTACCAAGATATTGTCTCAAAATATAGAATAAAAAGGGCTGTGGGCCGGGCATGGTGGCGCACACCTGTCATCCCAGCACTCGCGAGGCTGTGGCAGGAGGATGGCTGTGAGTTCGAGACCAGCCTGGGCTACATAGTGAGTTCCAGGTCAGTCGCAACTACATAGTGAGTCCTTGTCTCAAACCACCCCCCCTCCAAAAAAAGGGCTGTGGATGGGCCAGGGACGTAGCTCAGTGGTTCTGCCACCTGCCTCACAATCGCAAGGACCTGAGTTCAATCCCCAGTACCAAAAAAAACAGGGGGGGGCGCGTGGGTGAGGCTCAGCCTGAAGGCTCTGTGTTCGATCCTAGAACTGCCAATTATTTTCTCCTGATTAGTTTCAACTCATGGTGAGCTCCCAATGGCTCCCAGTGTGTCTGACTGCCCTGCACTTGTGTAGAATTTTCCAGAGACTGGGCTCTCCCCTCGCTCACCCATGTATCCACGCAATCTGCCTCATTAAGGCAAAGCCTCAGAATTCAACAAGTGCACACTGAGGCCAGGCTGGGTGCTGGGTGCCCGGTGCCGAGGCCCCCGGCTGTGAGGAGACGAAAGCAAGGCGACAGAGGAGGAATTCAGCTACTGGAACGGCGGGGAGAAGGAAAGAGCGCAGAGACACTGCAGTGGGCGGCCATGGAGCTCCTCATAGCTGCTCCCACACACAGGGCGTCACCGACCCCACACTGCTCATGACACGTGCTGCTGCCATCAGGTTTTTTCCAGCACTGAGGACTGAACCCAGGACCTCTGTACTGAGCTACATCCCCAGCCCTTCTATTATTTTTGGTTCTGAGACAGGGTCTCACTAGGTCACTAAGTTCCCCAGGCTGGGCTTCAACTTGCAGCCCTCCTGCCTTGGCCTCCCAGAGTGCACCACCACTCTTGTGTTTTTGTTTGTTTGTTTTAAACAGAGTCTCCGTATGCATAGTTCAGGCTGGCTCCATTCTTATGATTCTCCTATCCCAGCCTCCTATGTTGGAATTACAGATATATGCTACCATGTCTGGCTCATGTTTTCAGTTTACACTGTGATTTGGTGAATTCTCAAATGAGAGATTATTTGTGCTTTGTGTTTTCTGCCCACAGGGCTCTGCTCAGAAGACTAACGAGCATCTCACACTTAAGAGGTCCAAAAATCAAGCTTGTGATGTGTTTTTTGAGGCAGGGTCTTGCTAAGTAGTTCAGCTTGAACTTGAACTTACTATGGAGCCCAGGTTGGCCTTGAGCTCACAGAGATCCTCCTGCCTCAGCTTCCTGAGTGCTGGGATTATAAGTACGTACCACCACATTGAGCTGCAGTTGGTGATTTTTGCCCTAGATCTGCTGCTGTCTGGCTTCTCTATCTTGTCACTGATATGCATGATTTTTGTGTGTTCCCTTCCCGTCAGCGTCCCCAGCACCTAAGGCGTGGCAGGCACTGTATTTGCACACTGAAAGAATGATCTGAGCCCGGCTGCTCTCAGCGGCCTCCTTGATGTTCCACTAGAGAGCCACTAGAGGGCTGCAGGAGCCCGCGTCTCAGGTGACCCTCCAGGAGGCACCAGGCTTTACAGATTTGAAAACAACACACTTTGCGTCGAAGTTTTATCTCCACCACTATTTGCAGCAGACTGAAGTCAGGGAATACAGAGATTGTTTAAAATGCCTCTGAAAGATTTTTACAAAGAAAAATAAAAGAGATTCCTTGTAACAAACACTAGGAGTTGCTTAACAGCAAAAGGTGCGTGACCTAGGAGGCACTCAATAAATCTAACCACGTTCTAGGAGGAGGAATGGGGCACGAGGGGGACAGGTCCCCCAATGGATGGGGTCGGCACAAGGTGTGACTGAGAGACAGCTTCGGGTTTGATGACAGGCAGCTGGTGGAAAAGCGCAGCAGGAAGACATCGATCAACGCCAGCCACGCTGTGAGCAGGGAGAGTCTCAAACTCGCACCCAGAGGTGCAAACAGATTTCCTCTCATACAGTGATAAACCTTCAGAAAAGCGGGCCATTCACGAGCTGTGCGTGTTCTTCGTGTTACTTGTACATTTGGGTTATTTGTTATCTCTGCGAATATTAATACACGCGCCAGATGAGCCTGTTTTAGGGCAAACACCTCCCCAGCTGGCCTGGCTCCTCACGTGGCTCTGAATCCTGCCCTGGGTGGCTTCTTACACCTGTGTCTAAGGACATTCAAGGGTGACCTTGTCCCACCAGCTCAACAAGACAAGGGGAGGGAGGCCGAGGCAGGGGTGTTCCCTGGTGGTTTGAAATCTATTTCCTCACAGAAGAACGGGTAGGACATGCTCCCAAGTGTCCGCATTCGGGGAAGCTGAGGCAGGAGTGTTCTCCCTCTTTCAGGAGACATCTTGAGCTCAAGGTGTCGCCTCCTCCCCTGCTCTCCACCCTGCGGACCCCTGGGGACCCAGGCACAGAGGCCCAGGGACCTGGGTCCCCCGTGCTAGTTCCTCCTTCCTGGGCGGGCCCAGGCCGGCCTTCAGACTCGGGGTTCAGCCCAGCGGCTTCCGGGAGGCCCCGCCCACACCGGGGTCACCAGAGTCTGCGGAGGCTGCCCACTCGCGTGTCGGTCACGCAGGGAGGGTGTGGGGCACAGCTGCAGCGCGGGGAGGGGACGCCTGACTGATCCGAGGCTGCGACCTTCCCTGCACCAGAAAACTAAGGGAAGAAAACGTCTGCGGGGGGCGGGGGTGGAGTGGGAAAAGCAGGAGGAGGCCCTGGGCTAACTCCCCAGCACCCAAATTAACGAATAATCTATAAAAAGCCCAAGAAAGGCTGCTCTCCGAACTCTGTGCCCTGAGCCGTGTCTGTAACCACATGCGACACGGCCGTGGGCGGGGACCGGCTCCCTTCCGGTCCACGTCACACACAGGGCCCAATCCAGGCCGGGGCTGTGGTCACCAGGCGAGGCCATTAGACCTGCATCATGTGACATCCAGCGCTAGAGGCCACGTGGCCAGGGCAGCCTGGGTCATTATGCCTAGGCCAGGTCAGCTGCCCGGCCGGAGGGACAGAGTGACCCAAGAGGGCGGCTAGGTTGCATCCTCAGCCCCGAAAAAAAACATGGCCTAAAGTGGATAGAACTCCTATCCCAGCACATGGCAGGCTGAGGCAGGAGGATTGCTGGGAGTTTGAGCCCAGGTTGGGCTACAAAGTGAGCGCAAGGCCTGGCTGAGCCGTCTTAGCCGCGGCTTCCCCAGAAATCAGTGCTGACCAGAGCAGCACGCGGCCACCGGAGCCAGGGCCTCTCGGGTCCACGTCTCTCCTAGCCGCTCAAGCTCAGGACTGAAGAAGGGCCCACCCCATGGTGACCACGAGCCCCCAGACCGCAGCACCGCCTCTCTCATCGTGTCCTCACAGGCCACCGACGTGGCGATGTCCCGTGACTCCGCGCTGACTCCCGGCCAGCATTCCGGAGCCACTCCGGACTTTCTCAAGACCGTACGTCAGCTTCTCGTCCTGGGCTCGGCTGCGCTCAGGGTGCCGGCCGACCTGGCACCGTCTGACCCACGCTGCCGCAGTGAACGATGGCAAACAGGGAACCCTGGACCTGGGCCGCACGGCACAACTGTTCACTTTAGCTGCGCAGCCCCCTCTGCAAACAGCCAGTTGGGTCACAGCGACAGCAGCCTGGAGGACAGAGGCCAGGCCTCACGGGGTCGCCTTCGCCAGCGCTGTCCCAGCCCCCACACACAGCGCTCAGAATCCACGCTGGGGTCGCAGGCACCACCGGGCTTGGGGGGTGACTAGGAACCAAGGAGGTCATCAGAATGGGCCCTGTGTGGAACCCTGGTGGCCTTTTAACAGGGAGAGATCAACACAGACGCACACACATGCTTGCACGTGTACACACACACACACACACACGCACACACACGTGCACTCCTGTCTCCTGCCTCTTAGAGGCCCTGAACTCAGGAGCGACTTTGCCAGCAAGAAGCCACCACCCCATGCAGCTCCTTAACCTTGGACCAAAATGGAGCTAGAGTTAACTCCTGCGAGAGCTTTTCTAGTCTCTTATTATGTGATTGGCAGCAGCCAATGGGCCAAGAGGGCCCTTGAGTGGCTCCTTGACTGGTCTGGGAAGCAGATTGAGGCCAGACAAGATTAACAGAAGAAATATAATCCCCGATACTGCAGAAAAAGGAAGAGAGGTGAAAACAGGGAGGAAGGGAGGAAAGACATTTGTATACCAGGATCCGCAGGAGAAAGTTAAGACACAAAGAAATGGCCAAAGCAGAAAGCGTTCAAACTTTTAGACAGAAAATACTAAATTTCATGATGTAGTGACACACAGAAGGGACTGGGCTAGGGACAGAGCCATGCAGGGAGCCCCCAGGGGAGGCAGGGGGTGTGGGGCTAGAAAGTTCACTGCACAGCTCCTTGCCATGTCAGCTCTGCGCAGGGACAAGCCTCCTGCTGTGGGGACGGAGGGCCTGGCTTGCCCTAGGAAGGGGACAGGTTCCTCGGCCCTTTCTGCGCTATGGTTGCTCAGGTCCTTGCAGCCGGAAGGGACAGTACACCAACCCGTCACGCCCTGGAGTGGATTGTCCTCACCTCCTATGGTGACACCGGTGTCCCTGGGAGCTGTAGAGGTCCAGGCCCCGGCCCCAGCACCCTCCTGACTCAGAACCTGCACCGTGGCCTGTCCTGGGGGATCCCACGCAGGTCAGCTGCTCTGATAGGTGATTTCAAGGCCAGCCTTGACCCACACACTGAGACTCTGTCCCAAAAAATCCAAAAAATTAAAGAATAAAATACATGAGTGATCCCCGAACTAGTGATCTCAAGAACAGGAAAGGTGAGCCAATCGACTTTTAATGGTTTTGTTTTGGTTTGGTTTGGTTTTTATGGTACCAGGGATGAAATTTAGGGTTTGCACTTGTGAGGCAGGGGTGGCAGATGCGGCACCGCTGAGTTAAATCCCTGGGCCATGCATTTGAATGGTTTTTAAAAGCTATGATAATCCCAGCACTCAGGAGGCTGAGGCAGGAGGATCTCAGCAAGTTGGAGGCCAGCCTGGGTTCCATAGTGAGTTCAAGGCCAGCCCAAGCCACATAAATACATGAATAAATGCAGGTTATGACAAAGTTCTCAAGCTAATCACCAGTAGCTGCAGTGAGTTTAGTGCACCAGTGTACACCCAAGAGGGAGAGGATGAGACCAGTGCACTTGCTGTGGGTCCCCCACCAAGCCATATCTCGGTGCCGGGGAGTGGAATAAGGAGCTGGTGCAGGCCAAGGGGGACGGGTTCTCACTCAGGGATCTTCCACCCTCACTCAGAAGAATCTCCTTTCTTTACACAAGGATGCACCATGCCCTTTGCCACAACCCAGGCCCCCATGATGACACTGGTGGCTTCAAAAGAGTAAAGAGAGCTGATCACACACTTGCTCTGTCCACTGAGTTTGGGCTCTGCTTTCACAAGATGCCAAGTGTATGCTGGCACCGGGCTCTTAGACTCCCCAGCTGCCAACACCAAAGTCAGGATAAACTTCCATTCTTCAGAAATGACTCGGTCTCATTTAGCTAGTGTAACAAAAGACAGACTATGCAATTTTTGAAGGCGAGTGAAAACCATTCTTAGAAACTCCCAGACAAGTTTCCCTTAACTCTCATTGGCCAGGATTGTATCACAACCCTTGCCTACCCCAATCACAGGTGACGGGCATGGCTGGCTTTGGCCAATCAGAGCTTAGCCTGGAGTCCCAAGGGGGCGGGATGGAGCCTGGAATCAAATCAGAGTTCAGTTAGGAAGAATAGTAGAGGAACAGGAAAACCCCTGGGAAGAGAACTGACACCATTTGCTATAATAACTTTCTTAATGTTTCTGTAATTTGGGTTCTTAATTTAATTTTGTGGGTCCTCCTCCTCCTCTTCCTATGGTCACTTACTGTAGGGCACGGAGTGGAAAAGTGCTCATTCCCTTGAGAGCCAGTTTTCTGACAGAGGCGCTGGTTTCCTTGTCCATGCGTCCCCGCTGAGGAGAGGAGGGAATCATGGCTACACTCCACACGCGAGGAAGCTGGGGGCTCAGCTTATACGTAGAAGCAGAACTCCTAAGTTTCAAAGATCGCTCTTACTCTCTCGATTATAAGAGGACGGGCACAACTTGTCCTCTCATCAGGAGCCCGCTGTGACGACAGCGTTCTCCAGTCAGGGCGAGCCCTCAGGACTCCAGCATTGCTCGGTGGACCCCTCTTGATCCCTGCACAGGGGCGATGACGTCTCCACAGGAGGTATGCAGGGGACTTTCAAACCACAGCGTAGGACAGTTGTGTCACCACTGGGCTCATGGACTACCGAGCGTTTGTCCCCTGAGAATTATTACATCTCAGACTGGGGTCCCCTAACCTGGAGTTCAGCTCGGGTCCCACAAGATGGCCACCGTTTTAGATGCCAGTCAAAAGTCTGTGCTGGGCCCGGGGATTGCCTTGCAAGAGCAAGGACCTGAGTTCAATCCCCGGTACCAAAAAAAAAAAAAAAGTCTGTGCTGGGAAGGGAGCCACTCAGGGAGGGAGGAGAGGGAGATGTAAGGGAACCGAGATGTGTTATGTACAGCACCAACTCCCCAAGAAGAATCTGACCACTACATACTGCAAACAGGCACTAATAAAATATCAGAACTGAGGAAAAGAAGCTCTAGGGAGAGCTGCAGACATGTTTCAGGATGAAGATCAGTGTTGCTGAATTTCAGAACGATTAAAGATTCTTTATTTTCCTATGAAAGACCATTTGGAAAATGTTCAGAAAGATTGACTATAAAGAGATCAGTTTCTTCCCAGAGATTTTGGAGATAATGTTGTTATTTTATTTTGTTTTCGTTTTTTGGGGGGGAACCAGGGATAGAACTCTGGTCTGTGAGCTTGTGAGGCAGGCGTTGGAACCACTTAGCTAAATCCCTGGCCCTAATTTTTTTTTTTAATTAACAAAATAAACTGGTTTTGTGTTCCATCCTATGAATTGTAATGCATGCCTAGATTTGAGTAGCTACCACCACCATCTGGATGCAGAATAGTCCTGTTACCCAGACATCCGTCTGCACACAACCCCTCTGCAGTCATACCTTCCTGCCACTTTCCATCCCTGCCAACCAGTGATCAGCTGTCTTTTCAGTGTTGTTATATAAATGGAATCGTACAGTTTAAAAAAAAAAATCAGTCTGATCTTGCTGTGCTTCTGACCAACCCAGTATAAATCGGAAGTTCCCAGTGCCCTCCTTGGCCTTGAGGGTTTGCTCGTGAGCTTGGTGAGAGACTTACATCTGTGGATTATCACAGGAAGGGTCAGCCGGAAGAGACGCACAGGATAAAGCAAGGGCAGGGCTGGCTGGTGGGGGCACAGAGTTCCCAGCCCCTGCTGGACAGCCCTGCCTCCCGGGCCGTACTCTATTCAGCAACCCCAACACCATCCAGAGCGAGGTGAACAGAGGGTCACAGGCAGGCAGATGTCAGCCAAAACCTCACCCAATCCCATCTGCCCGAGCCCATTTTATAGTAATCTTCGCTTCCCAGAGGCCTGTGGGGCTGTGGGGCAGATAGTCCCGCCCCTGTAATCGCTGGTCTTTCTGGTTCCCAGGCCTGGCCTGAGGTTATCTGGCCCCCACCTCACCTTGCTGTGACCCAAAGGAGGGCTTTGGGGAACAAAACCCAGTCCTGCTGCTCAGGCCTCCCTTGGGAGTCTCGTCCCGGGACTGGATTGGAGACCACGTACACTTCTTAGACGCCCTGGGGACTCCCTTGGGAGTCGGGGTGTGGGTAGAAGCAAGAGGCTCACCCCGGAAAAGCCCCCGATCATCACCAAGGCTGGTGCGCTTCACCGTGAGGAGGACAGGGAGCTGGTGAGGGGTTCTCAACAAGGGGCACAGCTGTGGTCACAGGGACAGGACACGGAGACCACAGAGGTGTCCAGCGGGACAAGTGGCTACCAGTGCACCGACAGCAGCACCATGAGGACCTCTCACTATGGTAGCAGATGTGGGCACAGAGAGGGGTGTCATCGAGGCACAGGGAGAAGGCAGGGCGTCTGGGATGTACAGAAGGCGGTGTCACGACTGGGCTTGGGTCCCCCGAGTGGTGGCACCCGGTGTGACGGGTCTAAAGGACGACTCAGCCTCCCGGAGGCCACAGGTGGCTGATCTGGAAGGACAGACAGAGATCTGGGGTCCCAGCAGGGAGATGGGAACGGCAGCCTCTGTGTTCTGTTCCTGCCTCTGCGGGCTCCAGCCCAGAGCGACCTCCCTTCCCTCCTGAGCCCCGGAAGGAGGGGTCGGGGGCGGAGGTTGTTGGAATTTGCACCCAAACAGGGGCTCCAGAAATGGGAGTCTGAAAGCACAGGCTGAGCCACC